GTCCGTTTGCACCGAAGAGAAACGACTGACGTAGGTGCTGTTTTGGACACGGCCAAAATCGCGTAGGCTGTTATAGCTCCAAATAAGTAGTAGAAGAAAAACTTTGCGCGTACCAGATGCATTTGCTCAAGCGAGGAATGCTCTAGACCCATCACCAATGTATGTCTTGTCTGGAAAAAGATTCATTTGGTCATTTTTATATAACTTGCGGCTTTTAGCTTTCAAAAATTGGAAAGATATACGAACATTGTACTTTCTCTTAGAACAACCATTTGTTTAAATCCTTTTTGGGTACTCGCACTGTTTTAAAGTTGGCCGTTTCTCAAGTCCGGTTTCTATAGTTTTTTTCATCTTTACTTTTGCTTTCATTTTGACTAATTCTGATAACAGTTGTTTTGTTTATTTTAAACTCAGCACACATCACTTTACCTGAAACACCTCTTTTTAGTTTTTCCAGAATACTGGTAAATTAAAGAAACGCAAAAAATTAAAATTTGATTGAGTGGTGGTGTTAAAAATTCTAAGTATGCATATTTTTTAGTGCTTCACTAGATCTATAGCAGTCACACAGTGTTATAATCCCGATGAAATCCTTGACGGTGGTACCGGGAGAGGAACAGTACATGACGGTAGGAGGTTTAGTTAGGGTTAAAGTCTCATACTGACGGGGTTAGACTTTCGATGCTTCCTCCTCGTAAAAAAATGCGCAGTAAAAGTTGACTATTAAAATCGACGAATAGTTTTATGTGAACCTTTGTGAACTTCTGTTTATGTGTTTTTGTACAACATACTTATTAGTTACAATATTTTTAAGCTATAATAAAAAAAATTTTAGTAAGTAATAGTTATTGGTTTTGAAAAAAAAAAATGATTGTATAATAGGTCCCACCCTCCCTCTTCTCTAAATTTTGTTTTGGCCACGCCCATGCTTTCATTGCAGGATTCCTTTACCAGACAAATTTGAAGTTGCAAAACTTTATTCTTTACACGTTTTATAGTTGAAAATTTAATTCATATAGACTATTTTGTTTTTAAAATGTTGATAATAGCACGTTGCTATATTCCTGTGGACTAAATTTTAATGTTGGATGTATCGTCCATACTTAGGTGTTAGTTGGCCCTAGAANCTTATTCTTTACACGTTTTATAGTTGAAAATTTAATTCATATAGACTATTTTGTTTTTAAAATGTAATGCCTTGTTGATAATAGCACGTTGCTATATTCCTGTGGACTAAATTTTAATGTTGGATGTATCGTCCATACTTAGGTGTTAGTTGGCCCTAGAAGGTAACAGAATTGTTATTGTTAACCTACTTTGGTGTAATGTATAACGGAATTTTCAAAAAACATAAAACGAATTTACTTACTCATACAAAAAAATAAAGTTTGTCGTATGAATATTTATTTTAGTAAAAGTCCGTATGTTCGTCCCATTTTTTAACATATCGATTTTGTAGAGAATTAAAAAAGGATGGATGGTGTTATCTTAAACTTTACGTGTAAACACTGTGAGCATTAATTTTAAAGAGTCAAACTGTTTAGAAAAAATTAAATTTAACATTAAAAATTCGCATTAAAATAAATAGAGCTTGTATCTTTAGCTTTCAAATGGTGTTAAAATGAAAACTCTACGTTGAGTAGGATCCGAGATATACCGATTTGAATAAGTATATGATTTGCCTGGTTGAGGAAACGTTCCAAACTTTTACAGATCATATCTCCGAAGAAAAAAATAAATCCTGGGATACGAGTCAAATTATTTTATGTAAAGAACCCGTATACCGAGTTTGAAGCAAATCGGAAATGTGATGTCAAATTGGGTGTTCGATTTGAAAAAGAGCACCCCATATAGGTATGTATGCATGTACATATGCCGACAATGTGTTGTTTGAATTTTCCGCATTCCTTTTGCACGCTTGTTTGTTTACGCAACTGGATCACGCCACTTTGCCGTTGCCTAATTCGCTAATCCTGTTCCTTTGTATATGCGCTGGAGTGTATGTAGGTACCCTGTAGAAAAAAATTATAAACTGATAGAAAATTACCCCCTTTTAGTTAGGTTTTTTGCAGGATTTCGATAAAATGCATAACTTCTATTTAACTACAAAAGGTTGACTTGAAAGTAGTTGAAAAGTAATGCAAGAGAACTGTCACCGTGAGTTTGAGAATTAATTCTACTCTCTTCGCAACGCCGTCGTCAAAACAACCGACATGGTTGCCGCGAGTAGAGATATATATGTACTTGTATATACCTACAAAAGTTTAAAATTCCAACCTTGTATTTCCCAAGGGTAATCTTTAGTTACCTAACTCCATGGAAATTGTGTAAAATTGGTATCAGAGGAAAGGGGGCGTTCCCCCTGTTGCGGGGTTAGCTTCACCGCGTAATTAATAACACGCACTGTTTTCTTTGGTTGCACTAATTAAAATTCAATTTTATTTTTCTGTGACAACAAATACAAGAGCGGGATGAAAAATGTACACGGCGGCGGTTGTTCTTTGACTGTATCGATGTTGCTGTGTGTGCGGTGACGTTGCCTGTCGATAAGGCAGCCGTGTGGTCCTTTGGCCACACTGACACGGCGTTGCCAGAGCGCCGCGTTGGCGGAGGTGGAGACTTATTCGGAGAACTCGATCATGTTCTCAACATGCTCCCCCCCCACCTGATGCGTTGTTGATTTTAGGTCGGCATCTAACTTGTCCAGGGCCGCCTTTGCTTCAGCTACCAGTCGCCGGAGTTTCTGTTGGCGTTGTTGAGCCGACCGGCTCTGCAGTGCCCGCGTGCGGCTTTGAGTTCGTCGCGCCTCTGAGCGCCGAGCCCGGTGTAGAAGCGTGTGATGACCCAGCGAGCATCGACGGCAGCTGGACGCGGAGTCACACGCCCCCGTGGTGTGAGAAACCGCGAGGCAATTAATGCAGTGCCCATGAGTCCGGGCGCACTCGTACCTCTCCTCCGGACTCATCGCTAAGAACGCCCGGCACTGCCTCAGCACATGACGTTAACCACACAGACGTCACTTATGTGGCTCTGGATTTTTGCGGGTTCTGTAAGGACAGACATAGATAGAAAGGACGATTGGATCAAGTACTTACTAAAAATGGGTAAGAAGAAAATAAGTTGATAAAGGGTAGCTGTTATATATTTATAGATACGGCTAAAGGGTAACTAATAGTGGCATACAAACTGTAGAGTATGACGGGTAAGCATAGCGTTAGGTACCAACCGCCAACAGTTTCGTAATGTTTCGGGTAATGGTTCCATTTTGAGTTTTTATTTCTACAACACGAACGTTTTTATCTGGACCCGGATGCAATTTGATTACACGCCCAAAACGCCACTCATTGGGGGGTAATAAATCGTCTTTTATTACCACTAGATCACCTTCTTCGATATTCTGCTGTGGGCGCTTGCATTTGTAGCGTTTATGCAGCTCCTTGAGATACTCGTTCTTCCATCGGATGCTAAATTGGTGATGCAGTGCCTTAAGTCTTTGCCATTTGTTGATCAAAGAAAGATGTTCAACGTTTTGTTGTAGTGATAGGAGTGGTGCTCCGCGTAAGAAATGTCCTGGGGTTAACACAAGGGGATCCTGCGGATTTTCTGACATAGGGGAGAGCGGTCTGGAATTGAGGACCGCCTCTATCCGAATCAGAAGAGTGGCAAGTTCCTCAAACGAGAATTTTTGACCCCCCGCTACTTTTGGAAAATGTATTTTAAAACTCTTCACGGCGGCTTCCCCTAGACCTCCCATGTGTGGAGCGTATGGCGGTATAAATTTCCATGAGAATCCATGAAGGGCATATCTTTCTGCGACGTCTGTAGCTGCTACATTGAGGAACGTGGCGAAATCTCGTTTTAGTGCTCGTTGGGCGCCAACGAAGGTTTTCCCATTATCGGAGAGGATCTGGTGAGGTATGCCACGACGGCCGATGAAGCGTGCAAAGGCTGCGTTAAAGGCGTTCGTGCTGAGGTCGGAACACAGTTCTAAATGAACGGCCTTTGTCGAGAAACATACAAACACACAGACATACGCCTTCACATATGTAGCTCGTCGAAGTCGGTACGATTTTACTAAGAACGGGGTGGCAAGGCTGCCACTACCTGCGACCTCATCTGCTGTTTTTAGATGGTGCAAGTTTTGCAATGAAATATACACTTTTTTACTTTCTGCTTTAAACGGGGGATGTAGTACTCTTGCTGTACCATCCGGACCATCAGCTGTTTCTCCGCATGTAGTAGGGTCGAATGGAGAAAGTCTAAAAGAAGACAGCAAAAACGAGAGTTTTCGGGTATAATAATTGGGTGCCGCTCATTGTCATTATTCCTGCTTTGTCCAACATTGGGTTTAATGTCAAAAGGGGGCTCTTTCTGGTGACTGGCTTCGAAGCTTCCAGCAGAGCTTTTGTGTCCCCATAATGACTTCGTTGGGTTCGGATGATGAGTTTGGCTTTTGCATCATTCACTTCCTCTTCGGTAGCGTAACTGTGGCTGGGATTAATTGTTTTCGTGCCTTCCGAATGAAACGAAACATATAGGCGACGGTTCTGAGCGCGCGAGAAAACGACGAGAACCGGTCGAGTATATCCAGATCATTGTCTTCCATGGTGTGAAATGCCTCTACGCGTCGCTGTTCCGGGGGGGCTGGAAGGTGGGACACAGCTTTCGGCCACGATGTTGACGATCGTATGAGCCAGTTGGGTCCTTCCCACCATAGTGGACATTCCACCAAGTCCTGTGGTTTGCAGCCTCGTGTGCCCAAATCCGCTGGATTGTCATTGCTGGAAACATGTCGCCAAATCGAATTGCTCACGTTTTGGAGAATTTGGGACGTTCGATTGGCTACATAAGTTTTCCAAGTATGTGGAGGTTTTTCTAGCCACGCTAGTACTATGGAGGAATCGCACCAAGGTACGAGTTCGTGGGTGGGTAAATTGAGCTCATCTCGAAGTTGCTTTACTAACTTGGAGAGTAGTACTGCTCCGCAGAGTTCTAACCGTGGAAGACTTACGGTTTGTAAGGGTGCTACCTTGCTTTTAGCGGCTAACAAATGCGANCTAGCCACGCTAGTACTATGGAGGAATCGCACCAAAGTACGAGTTCGTGGGTGGGTAAATTGAGCTCATCTCGAAGTTGCTTTACTAACTTGGAGAGTAGTACTGCTCCGCAGAGTTCTAACCGTGGAAGACTTACGGTTTGTAAGGGTGCTACCTTGCTTTTAGCGGCTAATAAATGCGAAGAAAACGTGTTTTCGCTATTTTGTACTCTTAAATAGACGCAAGCACAAAAGGCTTTTTCGGAGGCATCTGAAAATCCATGCAGTTGGATGGGTTTGTCGGGGGTATACTGTACCCAACGGGGAATTTTAATGTTCTCAATTTTGGGTAAATTTACGTAAAAGGCATTCCATTTTTGAAGGGCCCCGGGTTTGATGTTCTCGTCCCAATCAGTTCCCTCCATCCAGAGTTGCTGTAACAGCATTTTTGCAAGGATCATTATTGGCGTTAGCCATCCTGCGGGATCGAACAATTTCGCTACTGCTGATAAAATCTGTCTTTTTGTGCATGAGTGCGCTGCTAAAAGTGGGTCGTATGCATATGTAAAGGTGTCTGTTAGAGCATTCCATTGGATTCCGAGCGTTTTTGTGGAGCTTGCATCTTGGAATTTGAGAAAATCGACATCTAATAGATCTGAGTCGTGAATTGGCTCTAAAATTTCCGGGTGGTTTGCCGACATTTTTCTCAAAGGGAATCCTGCTGGTTTCAGGGCTTCGGTAACTTGGGTCATCGCGTTTAGAGTGGACTGTATATCGTGACCACCTGATAGAATATCATCAATATACGTTTCATGTAAAAGTATGCTTTTTGCGAGCGGATATTCGCTTTGGCAGTCTTCAGCGAGTTGGTGTAGGGTTCTTATTGCCAAATATGGTGCACAATTAACACCAAATGTGACTGTCTTCAGTCGAAAATCTTCTATAGGCATATTAGGGTCTTTGCGAGAGACGATTCGCTGGAAATCTTGGTCTTCTTTGTGAACTAGTATTTGGCGTTATATTTTTTCTAAGTCGCCGTTGAATACGATAGGTTCGTCGCCATTTGAGAATAACGAGCATTAGGTCGTTTTGTAGTATGGGGCCCGTGTGGAGAATGTCGTTCAATGAATTGCCAGAGTGAGATAATTTGGAGGCGTTGAAGACAACTCGCACCTTTGTGGTTTTGCTGTCTGGTTTTATGACAGCATGATGGGGTAAATAAAAGGAAAAATGTTTCCCGCTTTTTACTATTTCTTGAGGGGNTGACGGGGTAATTAAAAGGAAACATGTTTCCCGCTTTTCACTATTTCTTGAGGGGAGGCGTGTTTCATGTGATCCATGGTCAAGTATTCATTTAAGACTTAAAAATATTTCTCTCGTAGTTCATGTTTCCTTTCTAGGGTCCGCTCGATGCTGATATACTGCTGCTGTGCTGCTGGTAGGGAGTGACCGANTTGTGCATGAGTGCGCCGCCAAAAGTGGGTCGTATGTATATGTAAAGGTGTTTGTTAGAGCATTCCATTGGATTCCGAGCGTTTTTGTGGAGCTTGCATCTTGGAATTTGAGAAAATCGACATCTAATAGATCTGAGTCGTGAATTGGCGCTAAAATTTCCGGGTGGTTTGCCGACATTTTCCTCAAAGGGAATCCTGCTGATTTCAGGGCTTCGGTAACTTGGGTCATCGCGTTTAGAGTGGACTGTATATCGTGACCACCTGATAGAATATCATCAACATACGTTTCATGTAAAAGTATGCTTTTTGCGAGCGGATATTCGCTTTGGCAGTCTTCAGCGAGTTGGTGTAGGGTTCTTATTGGCAAATATGGTGCACAACTAACACCAAATGTTACTGTCTTCAGTCGAAAATCTCTATAGGCATATTAGGGTCTTAGCGAAAGACGATTCGCTGGAAATCTTGGTCTTCTTTGTGAACTAGTATTTGGTGTTATATTTTTTCTAAGTCGCCGTTGAATACGATAGGTTCGTCGCCATTTGAGAATAACGAGCATTAGGTCGTTTTGTAGTATGGGGCCCGTGTGGAGAATGTCGTTCAATGAATTGCCAGAGTTAGATAATTTGGAGGCGTTGAAGACAACTCGCACCTTTGTGGTTTTGCTGTCTGGTTTTATGACAGCATGACGGGGTAATTAAAAGGAAACATGTTTCCCGCTTTTCACTATTTCTTGAGGGGAGGCGTGTTTCATGTGATCCATGGTCAAGTATTCATTTAAGACTTAAAAATATTTCTCTCGTAGTTCATGTTTCCTTTCTAGGGTCCGCTCGATGCTGATATACTGCTGCTGTGCTGCTGGTAGGGAGTGACCGAGTGCCAGATTTTTCGGGAATTCCGCTTTGAATGGCAATTTTACTACATAGCGTCCATCTTCTTGGCGGATTATGGTTGTCCTGTATAGCATTTCGCAGTATTCGTCATCTTCTGATCGTGGCTGGGTGGGGCGAACTTCTTCCTGTTCCCAAAGTTTCTTTAAAAGTCGATTGAGGGGGTCATCGGAGCATTCCGTGACGTGGGTACTGAACGTTGCGAACTTTTCAGCTACTGGACCGCTCAATATCCATCCGAAGATCGTGTTTTGGGCGAGCAATGTTCCACTTACTTTATGTTGCAGTCCTTCTGTAAGAATTTCCGGGATGATATCCCTGCCTATTACCACATCGATTGTAGATGGTGTCAAACAATGAGGGTCAGCCAATGTTAAATCCGCCAATTCTCCGAGATCGATACTTGATACTTTGGCTGTGGGCAAGAAGTGAGTGAGTTTTGGCAGTATTATTGCTTGTGCGTCTACTTTTTGGGCTAAATCTGATGAACAAAATGTTATTTCGCAGATCTCATTTGAGTTTTTTACCACCATTAGACCCATTCCGGATATTTGGTGTAGAGACTTTCTTGTGGGTAGGCCAAGGAGCTTTTGTATACGGGATGATACACAAGTTTTTTGGGAACCTTGGTCTTGGAATTCGCCAGCAAAGTATATGGAGACTATTGCTGTTGGTAGTAGGGTGGTTCCTTTGTCACTCGAAAAGTGAGTGGAAACCTTGTTTGTGTCCTGTGCGGGACTTGCGGCTGACGACGCCCTTGCGGCGGCTTTCGATGATGAGGGCCGCTCGCTGTCCGTTCTGCAAAGGGTGTCGGCTTGTGGCCTGGGCTGCGTATGAAGTAAAGGGTGATGCCTCTTTTGGCAATAGACGCACGTGAAACTGCCGTGACACTCATTCTTGAGATGTGAAAAGGAAAGGCAATTTTCGCAATAATTGTTTTCTCTCACGAATTTTAGGCGGTCTGATACTGAAAGATTTTTAAACCTGACGCAAGATTTCATCGCGTGGTTTTGATTACNGTGATGCCTCTTTTGGCAATAGACGCACGTGAAACTGCTCTGACACTCATTCTTGAGATGTGAAAAGGAAAGGCAATTTTCGCAATAATTGTTTTCTCTCACGAATTTTAGGCGGTCTGATACTGAAAGATTTTTAAACCTGACGCAAGATTTCATCGCGTGGTTTAGATTACCTAATCTACAAGAGACGGTTTTGTTGGACTCCGCATGATATGCATGAGCTCTATTTTTATTGAGGGGGGTCCAGTTGTGATTCACCGTTCTTGGTGTAAAATTCGAAAATTGGGGTTTTGCCTTGCCTGGTCTATAGGTACTTAACCTTTCTACTACCTCGTATCTGCTGGTCAAAAATTTGTTCATATCTGCCCAAAGCGGTAGTTCCTTCCGAGAGCTGAGGGACTGTTCCCATAGCGAAAGGCTTTCACTTGGCAGTTTGGATGAACACAGGTATACCAGGATTTGGTCCCAGTCCGTTGTTGGGATTCCCTGTGTTGCTAGGATTGACATGCAATTGTTGATTGTGGTCTGCATATTCTGTAGTTTTTCTCCGTTTTCTGTGTATATTGCAGGCAGGTTTAATAGGGTTTTCAGCTGGTTGTCGACCAATATCCTACGATTTTCGTACCGTGATCTCAACGCCTCCCATGCAAGCTCGAAATTTTCATTGCTCAATGGGTATTGCTTTACCAT